GCTCCCCACCCCCAGCATCCCCACCCGAGGGCCCCGACCCGCCACGTACGCGGAGGTGATGGCGCGGTAGCGCTCCTGGCCGGCGGTGTCCCAGATCTGCGCCTTGATGGTCTTGCCGTCCACCTGGATGCTGCGCGTGGCGAACTCCACGCCGATGGTGCTCTTGCTCTCCAGGTTGAACTCGTTGCGGGTGAAGCGTGACAGCAGGTTGCTCTTGCCCACGCCCGAGTCCCCGATGAGCACCACTGGGTGGGAGGGAGTCTGGTGAGGACCCGTGAGCGCCGCGCCCCGCCCTGGCCTCTCCCAGGACCTCCGAAGGACCCCTGGGCACTGCACAAAGTGGCTGCTCACCATCCGGGGCGGGAGCTGCCTGAGCCGGCGCCTGTGCAGGCACCGTGTTAACCGGGGCAGGAGCGGAGAGAGGCTCTGACCTTCCAGAAACAGCCACTGCGGCCGGCACAGCACCGGCCTGATCCTCAGCACAGGGCTGTCCCAGCTGGGCACAGGGACCCAGGCATCCCGGCAGGCAGGGCCGCGGCTCAAGACCCAGCAGTCCCTGAGCCTCCCTCCACCTACAGCCAGGTATGACTCGAGAACACTAGGAGCTAGGTGACCTTGGGCGAGTCACTCAACCTCTCTGGGTCACCTTTTCCAAACGTGTGAACATGGAGGTAGTCACAGGAGCTGTCTCAGGAGGAGGAAATGAGAACCGACACGGCCGGGCCCCAGCCAGCACGTAGCCAGCAAAAAGGGACAGCAAGCAGCTGTCATTGCTATTGTCATGGTGGGGGTCAGGGCATGGGAAGGGCCACTGCTCTGCCAGGTTCTTCCCTAGGAGGGTCCATTTCTGGTACGCAAGTAACAGGAAATGAGAAGCCACTGACGGAGGGGCCGTCCACCACCCGTGCTCCCACCCACCCGTCCAGCTGCCCCAGGCAAACTCGCATTCTGGCCCGGAAGGTCCCGTGAGGATCAGGACACGCCCTCTGGATGCGAGAGCGCCAGGGGCCAGGCCACCTCCCGCCACCCCTGCTCCCAGGTCCCAGCTGTCCCAGGCTCTGGGGTGGGGCCTTGTGAGACTGCTCAGAAGGGGTCTGCCCGGGAGGTGTGGACGCAGGTGTGTATACACATGCAGTCACATGCTTATAGCACAGAGGAAACCACCAGATGGCCCAGCCAGAAGTCCCATAGGCCCCAGCTGTGGGCCTCGGGCACTGGCACCTGAGGCTGGGCTGCCCAGTGGCTTGGTCACATGAAGCCCTGAGGACTTGGTTCCCTCTACCCAGGCAGAGCCCTGGCTGACAGGGAAGACCCCTGGAGTCCCTCCCACCTGGGGCTCCCCGGTGAGGGAGCAGGGCCTGGAGCCCACCAGGCAGCCCTCCCCTCCACTGCCCTCTCCAGACCACGCTGCAGGCCGTGCCCACGCGCTGGGAGTCCTCCCTCTAGAGAAGACTGTCTCCTGTCTCCACCACCTGCTCCCAGCACTGCCCGGCTCTCTACTCTGGACCCCTATGCCCCAGGGGGCTGTCTCCACTCGCTGACTCCCCCCACATGCCCCCCAGGCTGTCAAGAACCCGAGGGGAGCATGCTCCTGCCCCTCTGATGGCCTCAGCCCCCCAGGCCCGCCAGCAGCTGCCTGGTGCCCATCCCCCTCAGTACTCTCCTCCCTCCTTCATGGACCCCAGACCCCTTTTCCCGCTGCTCTTGTCCAGTATCCCCTGCACAACCCCCTCCATCTGCTAACATCAGGAACCCCAGGATAGGCCTCTGTCCACACCCATCTGACCCCCTCTAGGCCCATGGCTGCCAACATTGTGTAGAGGCTGAAAACTCCTACGTGAACCTCTCCCCAGAAGCCCCAACTGACCTGCCCACTGCCTCCTCCACGTCTCCTCGGGGACCACAGGCTCCTGAAGCCCAGCACAGCAGAACTGAGCTCCCCGTCGCTCCCCAATACTGCTCTGACCCCCACGTGACTTCCCCATCTCGGTTGACAGAAGCTTGGTCCTTCTGGTGCTCAAGCCCAACCCGGAGTCACCCCGGACTCCTTTGTCCCCCACCCCAGAGACAATCCGTCAGCCCCTTCCTAACAGATCTGGAGAAGGGAGAATGGGGGTACCCTGGGGGCTGGTCACGTTCTGTTTCTTGATCCATGTGTGGGTTCAGTTGAAAATTCACAAGCTATACTCCTACACGTAGTGCACAGCCTGAGTGTGATTCTTTTTTTTTTTTTTTTGGAGTCGAGATCTCACTCAGTTGCCCAGGCTGGAGTGCAGTGGCATGATCACGGCTTCAACCTTCTGGCTCAGGCGATCCTTCTGCCTCAGTCTCCCGAGTAGTTGGGACTACAGGTACGCACCACCACGCCCGTCTAATTTCTTGATTTTTTTTTTTTTTTTTTGGAGTTGGAGTCTCATTCTGTCACCCAAGCTGGAGGGCAGTGGCACGTTCCTGGCCACCACAGCCTCGACCTGCTGGGCTCCAGCAATCCTTCCACTCAGCCTTCCAAGTAGTTGCAACTACAGGCACACACAACCATGCCCGGCTGCTTTTTTGATTTATTGCAGAGACGAGGTCTCGCCCAGGCTCATCTCGAACTCATGGGCTCAAGGGATCCTCCCACCTCAGCCTCCCAAAATGCTGGGATGACAGGTCTGAGCCACCACGCTCAGCCTCTTGAATGCGATTCTTTGGTGAGAAGTTGTGTGGTGTCCGTGTGCCCAGATCCCTGCCACTTCTTACCCCCTTCCTCGCCCACCCTGGGCGTGCCAGCACCCTATCTCCCTGGTTACCACGCCAGCCACCGTGGTGTCCCTGTGGTCTCTCATTCACAACCAAGAGCCTGCTCTCCCTGCAGCCGCCGCCAGAGAGCACCAGGGAGCACCTGCGTTTGCTCCTGTCCCTCTCGTGCCCACAGCCCTGCATGGCTCCCAGCTCCCTTAGAGGAAAAGCCCAAGTTCTCTCCGCTGCCCATGAGGCCCTGCCCGACCTGGCCCTGTCACCCTGTGCCCTCCCTTCCCCTTGCTTACTCTGCTGCAGCCACAGGGGCCTCCTCACTGTACCTCCAACATGCCAGTTACGGCCCAGCCCCGGGGCCGCTGCAGGGGCAATCCCTGATGCCTGGCATGCTCTTCCTGAGACTCAGGCCTGGCTCCTGCCCTCCACTCCCTCGTGTGGCCCCTCAGATGCCACCTGGCCGAGCAGGCCCTCCCTGCCATCCTTCCAAGACCCTCCTCCCCGCGGTGTTCCCGATCCACCCCTACCTCACACTCCAGCCACCTTCTTACTCGCCCAGCTTCACGTATTTATTTTTGCTAGTCTGCTCAAGGGTAGGAAACGGGCCCCGGCATAGCACCCAGCACACACACACGCCACAGCAGCTGGCGGCGCCTCCCAGGTCCACCCCTCCACTCCTTCCCGCCAGCTGGAGGATGCCCCGGTCACCACCCTTGGGCCACAGGTGGGTGGGGATCAGGCAGCCTCCACGACCCAGCCTAGCCCTCCTGTGGCTGGCTGCCTCAGAGCCAAGAATAACAAGAACAAGAACAAAGAATCTGTTCTGAGAAAACGCTAGGTGGGCTTCACTTCAGGGAAGCCTCACACAGCCCATTTGACAGATGAGGAAACGGAGGCTTTGATGGCACATCGGGGAGGGACAGAGCAGGGCTCTGAGCCTGCGTATACCTGCAGCCTTGCCCCTACCTCCCCACTGTGCCCGCCACGCACGCAGTGACTTGTCAGGGTCATCCGCCTGGGAAGTGGTCCAGACAGGATTTTTTTTTTCTGAAAGTAGAATTTGGCCAGACGCTGTGGTTCAGCCTGCAATCCCAGCACTCTGGGAGGATGAGGCGAGAGGGTTGCCTGAGCCCAGGGGTTCGAGACCAGCCTGGGCAACTTGGTGAGACCTCGTCTCTACAATAAACCAAAAAATTAGCCGGGCGTGATAGTGTGTGCCTGTGGTTCCCACTATGAGGAAGGCTGAGGTGGAAGGATCGCTTGAGCCCAGCAGGTTGAGGTGGCAGTGGCTGTGAGCATGCCATTGCCCTCTAAGCCTGGGTGACAGAGTGAGACTCCAACTCAAAAAAAAAAAAGAAAGTAGGATTTGTTAAGAAGACAGAAAAGGGTGGAGTGTGGTGGCTCAAGCCTGTAATCCCAGCACATTGGGAGGCCAAGGTGAGTGGACTGTCTGAGCCCATACGTTCAAAAACATCCTGGGCAATTTGGCAAGACCTCATCTCTACAATAAATTTTTAAAACTTAGCCAGGAGTGGTAGAGTGTGTCTGTAGTTCTGGCTACTTGGAAGGCTGAGACAGAAGGATCACCTGAGCCCAGCGGGTCGACACTGAGGTGGCCGTGAGCATGCCACTGCACTCCAGCCTGGGCGACAGAGTGAGATTCCAACTCAAAAAAAAAAAAAAAAAAAGACGAAAAGCTCCCACAGTGGGGGGGGGACCCGAAAGAGGTTGTCCTGGACAGGATTTGAACCCAGGTCTTCTACATGAAGGACCTGAGTTCTTTTCCTCTCATTTTACTTCTTCACCTGCTGTCCTTCCCTGACTCCTGAACGTGTGGCTCAGGGATCTTGGTTCCACCTCAGGTGGGACAATTGGCGCCAGGAATCACAGCCGGCTGGCTTCTCCAGTTCCAACCACCTGGAGCATCCTGTCCTCCTGGGGCAGCTGGCAAACTCCTATTCACCCTTCAAAATCCCCCAGAGGCCGGGCTCGGTGGCTCACGCCTGTCATTCCAGCACTTTGGGAGGCCAAAGCGGAAGAATTATTTGAGCCCAGGAGTTTAAGACCAGCCTGGGCAACATAGCAAGATTTCATCTCTACCAAAAAATTATCAGCCAACTAGTAAAACAACCAAAAACTGACCTCTCAGTTGGTTCAGGCCTCTTTTCAGTCCCAAGATCATTGCCTGGCCTGGCCTATATAACAACAAGGCCAGCATCCTCTCATGACACTGTGGGTGCCTATGCCAAACTGCCAAGTGGATTTCAGAGAAGAGGTGGAGCAGACATGGGCGTGCGGCCCAGGACCGGGGCCTCCCACCCATGCTGGCGGGGCCAGGCTAGACTGAGCATGAGAACCTGTCCACACTGCAAACCACTCACTTCCTTCCATGGCAGCTGCTGGCCAAGACCAGGGAGGTCCACACTCAGCTCTCACGTCCTCAGGTAGACCCCACTCCCTTCCCAGCCTTGCCTAGCTGTCCAGCCACGGGAGTCCCCGGGCCCCATCAGTTCCACCCCGGCCTGGTCAGCATCTCTGGCCAGGCGGGGTCCTAATGTTTCACAGGCCTGAGCTGATCACGTGCTCAGGACAGGGACCCACGTAGAGATTATGATCCCCACTGGACAGCTGGGGACACTCAGCCCCGGCTAATCAAGCTCCAGGCCAGCCAGTTGCTGCCCAGGTGAATGGGGGAAGGCCATGCTGCCAGGCCCGTCCATGGCACTGGATGCCTGATGCAGAGAGGTAGCCAGCGGGGCAGCAGCCGGGCTGGTCCCGTCCGCAGGCTGGGCATGAACGTGGCATTGTCGATGGCACAAACAATCTGTTGTCTGGGGAAACAAAGGGCCCTTGAGGACACTGCGCCCAGCCTTTCCACAGAAGTTGGTGGCCCCACTGGCAGGGCAACGGCTCCCCTGGGCATGCACTTGGCTTGCGGACCAGGCAGGCCCTGCTGGCAGATACTAGAAGCTGCACCTCTCAGAAGCCCTGGCCTGTGATAGTATGCCATCCGGGCTCCCCTGCCCCTGCCCCTCCTGGGAAGCTAGCCAAACTACCCCAGGCCCCAGGGATGGGAACTGGGGGGCACTCTTGTTCTCTGAGAGAGGCGTCCAGGGCCAGGCCCCAGGAGGGACCCCTACTATAGATAGGGACCAGACAGCAACCAGACAGTAGGCCTGATGGGGGCCGCCTGGACTGGAGGGCTGGGAGCCACCTAGAGAATCTCAGCAGAGAGGGGGGATCCCGGAGCTGGCCCATTCCCTGGGACCCAGCCGCCATGCTGACCTCAAGCAGGGGAGGACACGGCCCAGAGGATGGGGCCTGGGGCCACCAAGGCCAGTTTCCCACCAGACCCCATACTCCAGGGCCAGGTGAGCACTAGGATGGCCTTGCAGCCCTTGGGGACACAGCTCTCCCAAAGTGGACCCCACAGCTCAGTGCCCATCAGAGAAGTCAGGGTGTCCCAGGACTCGATCCCAGGCTGGGCAAATGGCCCATGTCAAAAGGATAAAATGTTAGGAGGAGAAATGTGAGATCTATAATTAGGAACAAAGAAACACCCTCATTCCTGGGGGCGGAGGGGAGCATCCAGGGAGGAAAACAAACAGCACATGGGGGATCACCCAGGGGATTGGCCGGCCTTGGCCGCTGAGGTCAAGGGAACCAGTGTGTGGTGTGGCCGCCAAGAAAAACAAGGCTGCGTTAGAGGATCAGATAGGCACTACCAAAGTCCTGAGCAAAGAGAGGTGGCCCTTCCATGCCAGTGGAAGACCAGAGGAGCTAGGGACAGGGATGGGAAAGAGGAGTGTGCCAGCTAGGTACAGGGTGGGAACAGGAGGATCGATGTCCCCTCTGACTGCTGGAGGGTCTCCCACAGGTGACAAAGCCAGAGTCACATAGTGATGTCAACGCTGGTTAACACTTCTGGTCCAACTGTATCTTGGATGTCTTTCCGCGGCTTGGTCCTTGCTGGCCCAGGCCAGAGCCTCTTAAGGTCTGGGGGTCACCAGTTCCCTCCCCTCTTCTTTTTTTAATTTAGAGAAAAGGTCTCATTGCCCAGGCTAGTCTCAAACTCTTAGCGCCAAGTGGTCCTCCCACCTCTGCCTCCCGAAGTGCTGGGAGTGTAGGTGTGAGCCACTGCTCCCGAGCTTTTTTTGTTTTCTTGTTTTAGAGAAAGGATCTGGCTCTGTTGCCCAGGCTGGAGTGCAGTGGCTTGATCACAGCTCACTGCAGCCTCAAACTCCTGGCCCAAAATGATCTTCCCATCTTAGCCTTTTGAGTAGCTAGGACTATAGCTGTGTGTCACAATGCCTAACTCTTTTTTTTTTTTTTTGAAAGCAGGATTTATGGAGAGGACAGAAAAGCTCCAGCCAAGCTTGGTGGCTCAGCCTGTAATCCCGTGCTTTGGGAGGCTGAGGTGAGTGGATTGCCTGAGCCCGCAGGTTCAAGACCCGCCTGGGCAA